ATCAACCTTCACTTCTTTCACCTCATTAGAATTTTGCAAATTCTTTAATATATTGGTGATGGTAGAGAGTTGGGCCGACATTAAATCTTCAGCTTCCAACTTGAATGTCCCAGATGCCTTCCTTCTAGTTTCAAACCTTGAAGAGGGAAATTGGTAATCATGGTTAGCAATTCGATCAAGAATACTAAAAGCCTCTTCAGGTGATTTGTCAAGCAAAGTGCCATTTGTCCAGGCGTCTAGCATCATCCTCGTGGGTGCATTGGCTCCATTGTAGAACATCACGACTTGAGTCCAGTCGTGGAATCCATGGTTGGTACATTTACGAAGCAATTCTTTGTAGCGGTCCCAACACTCATGCATTGACTCGTCATCAGCTTGGTGAAAAGATGCTATGGCATTCCTAAGATGGTTGTTCATATTCGGTGGATTATGCCGCAGCAAAAAAATTTTGCACAAGTCAGCCCAAGACCTTATAAAGTCGGAAGGTAATCTATTGAGCCATACCCTGGCATCATCTTTCAAAGAATATGGAAATAACTTCAATTTCAACACATCTTCATGCACACCTTCTTGTCGAAATGAATCACACACCTCCAAAAATTCTCGAACATGTTGCCTTGCATCCTCATGAGGAGCACCACCAAACTTTCCAATCAAGTCCAACATGTCGAACATAACTGGTTTGAGCTCGAATTGGGTTACCTTAATCTTGGGAGCTATAATAGCAGGTTTTAGGTCATCCAAGGTGGGAGCTAAGTAATCTCTAATAGTTTGTGGTCGAGCAGCATTCCTAGCATTTGGAATTGTCGTGGCATTTAGAACTGCAGGATCCTTCACTTAATTTTGAACAACATGAGCCTCAGGTTCTATATGAAATAATGGTTATTTGGGTCTTTTACGTGTCATGCGACAACGTAACACCTGAAAAAGATAAACACAAAAACAAGTAACTATGTACAAAGAAAATAAATAAAACGGTACAACAACTAAACTCAAGATCATCAATTGCCAATCCCCGGCAACGGCGCCAAAAACTTGTTCGCGTGTTATGAGTACTATAAAATATACGCAAATAATGTGCAAGTATACACAATCGCTCAAGTAATAAAGTGATGAGTGAGTATCGTCTCCACAGGGATTGGAAGGATATTGAGTAAAGTTTATGCACTATTCTATCTAAGTATAGTTAGTCTTGATATATACAAATGTCACGGCAATGGATATGTGTATGCTAGTGAATGTGGATTGATGGTGTAGCAAATGGAAATGCAGTGGCAAGAATAGATGTTTAGTGTTGAAAATGATGAACAAGACAATGAAAAATGGTAAAAACAGTAAATAAAAGATAAATAAAATAAAAAGGAGATAATCCTCACGTGACAAGCTTCCAATGGAATGAATGGTAGGGATTGATCTAAGAATGCTAAACTTATCTCTCAGGCAGATTTCAGCTATCTGGTCTTTACTTACTCGACAGGGCTTTCCTAAAATGTTCTCACAGGAACCAAACAGAATAGGATGCCAAGGCATCTTCTCTCACTCAACGATGTTGGCAGCCTACCCTACTGATAAAGACACCCTTTTTAGTCGTTGAAATCCTATCCTAGTATCTTCCGAGATCTAAGGGATTAGGTTATAATATTCCTAGGCCGGTTCAAAGCCCCTTGAAAATACTATAACCCATTGCTTATGAGGATCTTGTCTTGCGTTTCTTCCGAATACTTACAAGTATTTTTAGCTTAGGATTCTTCCGAACACCTAACCTTCATCTAAGAAATGAACATTTCCATGCCTCTTACAAGCCTAGATGGTGAAACATTCATAAGCAAAGCAAATAGAGAACCAAGATAAACTTAAATATACCATTAAAAATAAAGTTTAAACATCCATTAAACCAACCACCACCAAATAAGTTAGTTCATGGTGGGGTTCGAAATATCCATAGAAAAATCCACAAAATATTCGTTCCAACAACCCACAAATAAAATAAATAAAATAACAGCAAAGGGAAGTGAGAAAGAGCCTTCGACGCACGCCACTGAAGGTCTCCTCGGCCACCACGGACCACTTTAGCTCGCTAGCTCCTCTCGACGCCTAGCTCGCCACTCCTTAAAGCTTTATCAATGGAGGAAAATCTAAGGAAGAAGAAAGGAAAAGGGAAAATAAAAATCTGATTTTTCTGCTACAATATGCGTATCCTTTCTTTCACCCACTCTCTTTCTTGTTAGGTGTAATATATAATAAAAATATTTAGGGGTAATGATGAGGTTGTTGGAATATTGTTGGGTGCAAAATACCCCTCATACCCCTAGAATCACATGTTGTGCATGAACCTTATCTTCCAGGTGGTAGTGGTCCCCTAACAGGCTGTTACAGCCATCATTTCACGTGCAGAGACAGCTGTCCACATACAGCTGTATATTTTTGTCGTTTTCTGTGCCAGAAATGTCGAGGCATTTCAATATGCTTCAGCAACGTGTGATGCCGCGACATTACTTCCCAGCTCGCCTATTTTGCTTGTTATTTCCTCCTCATACTAAAAACCACACCTTCTTCTTCATATAACACCTTAATAAAATAAAATAACACAACCACAAAAAATATAATTATATACAGCTACATACATCTAAAATGATCTATACGTACCCTTAAACAAATAATAACTTAAGTTAAAAAGACATTACAAATAGTCTTTTTACGGAATTATAAGAAATCTAAGCATTTATCTGCGGGAAAAAAAGGGGAAACAGATCATCGAAAGACCGCAATTGTTTTCTGACAGGGGCTCTTTCGAAAGCTCTACTCTCGCGCTTATTTGTCTTTCGAACGACTGTGGAAGTTGCAAGAACATTTGAACACCAAATCCTAGATTCTTCTCTAACCTTATATTCCAGGTTAGCATCTTTGTCTACTCAATGCGAAAGTACCAACTCTCTTAATCCTGCTTACTTTGTATTTTATCTCGAGTTTTCTCTACCCTAATTGATCTGTATCATGAAATTTTGAAATGGGTTTTGAGTTTCAAATCAAGGAAATGCAAGTTTAAATTCTTTGTGGTGGAACGTTCTTTTCTTCTCGGGGATGCATTTTGGGTTTTACTATCTATTTACTGTGGAGGTGTACGTCCTTTTTCCTGGGATTGTAATTAACTAGTAGTTGAATGTAGAAAGAAGACTGACATGATTTTTGAAAGGTGTAATCAAGGTTTTCTTGCCCGGATTTGCATTATGGCACACCCTGGGCCTTGAGGTGCAGAGAGAGAGTTCAGGTTAACCCTACCCCAAGAAAGCCCAGGATTTTACTCGCAGCCAGTGGAAGTGTAGCTGCCATAAAGTTTGGAATCTCTGCCATTGTTTTTCAGAATGGGCAGAAGTTAAAGCAATTGCCACGAAGGCTTCTTTGCATTTCATTGACAGAGCATCACTGACGAGGAGGAATGGTCTAGTTGGGGGAAAATAGGTGACAGTGTTCTTCACATCGAGCTCCGACGATGGGCTGATATTTGTCATCGCCCCATTGTCAGCAAACACGCTTGGCAAGTTAATATTATTTGGCCACGTGTTGGTATATTTTTTGTTCCTGTATGTTGTACCTTGTATTAATTGTTGAAAGGACGCTAAACATTATATATTCATGTCAATGAAAAGAGCATTGGAGAAGTTCGGAGAATGCGATAAAGTCTCCTAATTTAAGTGATTTGGTTATGCTTTATGTAGCTGTAAAAAGATCCAAGTACTAATTTGATTCTTTATGACAATTATATTTTTGGTTGACCATGAGTTTACAATTTGTGCTAAGCATTCATGTATCTGAAAATTAGTTTCTTCTGCTGTCATATGCTTCTGATATTCCCATTTTTGTGAAGCTGGCTATGAACACTTTAATGTGGATCAACCCTTTCACGGAAAAACATCTCATCACAATTGATGAGCTTGGGATTTCTCTCATCCCACCTGTCTCAAAGCTACTAGCTTGTGGGGACTATGGGAATGGCGCCATGGCAGAACCTTCTCTAATCCACTCGACTGTCAGACTATTCTTGGAGTCACGACCACAACCAAGTGACTGAAGAACCTGTTTATCGTGAAGAACAAACACTATATTAGTTGTGTCGTAGTCCATTTGATCCAGTATTGAGTTGTTTCTGTTAGCTGTCAAACAAGCTTAGTCTGTATATTTATACAGCAGGAAATCTGACCTTGTAAGCTGATTATATTTGATGATTTGCAGAATCGTGATAGATATATAGATTTACTATTGTTTGCGCCCCCCAATTTACTGAGCCACAAAGATTGTCCGTGTATCGATACAAGTGGTCACACTGAGACGGTGTGATTTCTGAGTCAAAACCACTACACATTTAACCATGGTTATCTTGGCCACACCTGTTAACAAACTGATACTAATTTTAATGTTTATCCAATCAATATTATATATTTTGTATTGTTCCATATCGAACGTACTTTTCTTTTTTCATTATTTTCTTTGTTTTTGGACTTCTTTTTTTGTTCAACAAAATAAAAGAAAAATTTATTGGGAGTGAATGAAAAAGTCTCCTGCTTGTCTTTTCTTCTGCTGCAAAAGAATAGTGCGTATATATTTATATATGTACACACATAGGGATGAATGGATAGGGTTGACAGAGAAAGCAAAGTAATTTTGATGGCTTTTTGGGCTTTGTTTATTCTTTGCAAGTAGGAGCAATTACTATTGCTATTGGTATTTGGTTAGATTATGTTGTATATGGAATAATAATAGAGAATTAGAGGAAAAGAAATGAAGAGATTGTATTAATGGGGTTTCCAGAATCTTGATATTGGTCCAGTTGCTTTAGGGTGTTGTATAGAAAATACATAAATAGGGGCATTCTTTGAATGGATTTTTTGCATTCAATAAACAGACGCGTCAACATTAAAAAGGATAGTAAACTAAAAAAGCCATTGGAGATTTGATTTTGATGGTTTTATTTTGAATGAAAGCTTGTTGATAAGGAAAGATTGATGGGTAAGAAGAAGAAGCCTCAAAAACGAAGCAACTTTCAGTAGCAATAGCTGCGGCTTCATCAGCAGGAGAAGAAGCTCAACAACAACAATCTCTGCCTCAGACTCCTAAAAAGAGAGGCAGACCACGAAAGATTGTTGAGAGAACCGAAAGTGAAGTAAAAGAAGAGGAAGCAGCTGAAGTTACCGAGAGCCAATCAAAGAAACTAAAAACTACTGAGGAACAACAGAGGGATGATGATGATGATGAAGAAGAACCGCAACAAGAGCAAAATCCACAGGCAAAGGCAGAGGCATCATCAGCTTCGATGGGAGGCCCGAAGAAAGGAGAGGGACAATCAGTATCACTTAAGGAGCCTCCAACAAGGAAAACAAGAAGAAAAAGCAAACCCAGAAAGAGCAGCTAAAATTGCTTCAATTTGCCCTAATGAAGTCTGGTAAATCCATTTTTCCTTCTTTATTACTACACGCTTGTATGGTAGCTCCAAGAAAGGAAGATTAAAATGATTTAGCTTTTCATGTTTGAGAAGGGTGAAGTTGAAATTTCCAGGTTTCATGAAGAAAGCTTCTTGGTTTCATCAAATTTATTGCTCTATTAATCTGTTCCAAATGTGGACACAGAAAAGCATTATGCAAAACTAAAGGCTTTGTTGTTTTTTTTCTTTTCTTTTCTTGATTGCAGTAACTGTGCTTTCTTAACCATCTTCTTTATCCATATATTTTTCTGTGCAAACAAACAAAGATTGAAAGTAGCAAAGATAGTTTTTATTCTTATACCACTACATGAATTAAATCAGGTTAAATTAAAGTTGTTTCAACTATTAACATACATATTTTTCTTGTTAAACTATTTTTTTTTATTCTGATTCTGATTATTATTATTATTACTAATTTAGTTGACTGTATGTTTTTTCCTTTTCCATGCTTATAATACTGAGCAAACATATAAGAACTTGATTACTCGGAGGGAAAGAAAGACTAGCTCGTAGCTACTGTATTAATAATAAGAACTTGAGTGGCAAGTGATAACAGAGTTGATATAGTGGCGCGTGGGATTAGTTTCAATTTGAGACACTGCTGATAGACAAAAGTCAAAACACTATATAATTTAATAATTTCATTTACACATACAACATTAATTTAATAATTTCATTTACACAAAAAATTATTTGATTATTTTGATATTTTATAAAATATTATTTAAAATTTAAATTTAACAAATTTAACCAAAGATAATAATAAATATGTAATATCTATGTTTATTATTTTTAATTTAATAATAATATATATTGTAACATAAAAATAAATCTAGACGCGTATAATTACTAAATTAATATATTAAAACTCACTCAAAAGATAACCTTAAATTACAGTTTTCCACAGTGAAATACGTATCGACACTTATATATATGTATCGATACTTTACAATATAACAGGTAAAAATATAACAAAATCAGTTTCATTATGACAAAACTGGTAAAATTTACTTGATATGTTGAAAGTATAGATACTTTTTTATAAAAATGTATCGATACTTTGTTGAAAGTTATGTAATTTATGTTTCAAAATTTTTTAATAGTGCTTTATGTTTTCCACCTACAATATTAATTTAATAATTTCATTTACATAAAAAATTATTTGATTATTTTGATATTTTATAAAATATTATTTAGAATTTAAATTTAACAATTTTAACCAATGATAATAATAAATATGTAATATCTATGTTTATTATTTTTAATTTAATAATAATATATATCGTAAGATAAAAATAAACCATTAGACGCATATAATTACGAAATTAATATCTTAAAACTCACTCAAAATATAACCTTAAATTAATGTTTTCCACAGTGAAATAAGTGTCGACACTTATATATAAGTATCGATACTTTATAATATAATAGGTAAAAATATGACAAAACTAGTTTCATTATGACAAAACCGGTAAAATTTACCTGATATGTTGAAAGTATTGATCCTTTTTATAAAAATGATCGATACTTTACAATATAATAGGTAAAAATATAACAAAACTAGTTTTATTATAACAAAACCGATAAAATTTACCTGATATGTTGAAAGTATCGATCCTTTTTATAAAAAGGATCGATACTTTACAATATAACAGGTAAAAATATAACAAAACCGGTAAAATTTACCTGATATGTTGAAAGTATAGATATTTTTTTATAAAAATATATCGATATTTTGTTGAAAGTTATGTAATTTATGTTTCACATTTTTTTAATAGTGATTCATGTTTCCACCTACAATATTAATTTAATAATTTCACTTACACAAAAAATTATTTGATTGTTTTGATATTTTATAAAATATTATTTAGAATTTAAATTTAACAATTTTAACCAAAGATAATAATAAATATGTAATATCTATGTTTATTATTTTTAATTTAATTATAATAAATATTGTAACATAAAAATAAACTATTAGACGCATATAATTACTAAATTAATATCTTAAAACTCACTCAAAAGATAATCTTAAATTAATGTTTTTCACAGTGAAATAATTATCGACACTTATATATATGTATCGATATTTTACAATATAATAGGTAAAAATATGACAAAATCAATTTCATTATGACAAAACCGATAAAATTTACCTAATATGTTGAAAGTATCGATCCTATTTATAAAAAGGATCGATACTTTACAATATAATAGGTAAAAATATGAAAAAACCAGTTTCATTATAACAAAACCGGTAAAATTTACCTAATATGTTGAAAGTATCGATCATTTTTATACAAAAGATCGATACTTTACAATATAACAGGTAAAAATATGACAAAACCAGTTTCATTATGACAAAACCGGTAAAATTTACCTGATATGTTGAAAGTATAAATACTTTTTATAAAAATGTATCGATGCTTTGTTGAAATGTATGTAATTTATGTTTCAAAATTTTTTAATAGTGCTTCATGTTTTCCACCTACAATATTAATTTAATAATTTTATTTGCACAAAAAATTATTTGATTGTTTTGATATTTTATAAAATATTATTTAGAATTTAAATTTAACAATTTTAACCAAAGATAATAATAAATAGGGTAAAGTATAGTAATAGTCACTGAACATTTCCAAAACTTGCATTTAGGTCCCTCAACTTTTAAAACTTGCAATACAGTCCCCAAACATTTAATCCGTTTGCAATATGGTCCCCGCACCTATGAATATTAGGGTAAATTATATAAATGGTCACTAAACTTTTCAGGCACTTAAATTTAGGTCCCCCAACTTTTAAAAATTACAAAACAATTCTCAATTTCATTCTAAACCACAAATTCCAAAGTAATTCAATTTCATTCTAAACCCTAAATTCCAAAATAATTCAATTACATTCTAAAACTCAAATTCTAAAATACTTCAATTTCTGTCTTTTTATACACGACGCCAATGTCACTAAATTATTAATTAATTTACTTTTTATATTTAAAAACATATGATAATTTTTTATTATTAATTTAAAGACATGAAAATTTTTTCAATAGTAAGAATATATGATAATAATTCATTTATTTAAAAATAATATATTTATGATTATTTGTGTATGTTTTTATATCTAATCATACGTGTTAATATATTTTATATCTTTCACATAAATATTAAGACTACATAAATAACAGAGTCAAAATTTTATATACGAGTTATGTTAATTATAGTAATGATGTATAAATATTTTTTATTTTTATACTATTTCTATTATAATTAAAATATAAATATTACCATGATAATTAAATATTTATTTACTTATTACATCGAATATTTTTGTAGAAAAATTATTTAATAAAATCATAAAAAACACAATAAAAAAATAAACACTGAAGTTGACTACTTCAAAAATAAAATAAAAAAATCAATAATTTAATATAATATACCCTAAGTTGATGATAACAATCAACTCAAAGAGATGGGGTTTGTGCCATGTTTTCGTAACATACGTAAACTTTCTATTTCATGGTCACGTATTCTTTTAGTTCTAGCATGATCTATTTTTTAATTTTCTAATATAGGTAAAAAAATGTTATTTTCTTTAAAAGTTTTAAATTCAAACAATTGTGTTTGTAGGGTATATCTATATTGTTAATAAATTAATTTTTTTGAATAAATACTATCTTATAATCACATCAAACTATTAAAAAAATTAAATTATAATTGAAATAAATAAAAATTATAAGGATGTCAATTGGGGATTTTGATTCTTAATTTTTTTCATTGAGAGATTGTATTTTTTTTATTCAATTTCTTCCATAATCATTTTTTATATTTAAATTATTGAAGATCACTAAATTTACATTTACGAGGAGGGAGTGTATTTTTTTCTTCACAAAAGTAAAAAAATAAAAACGCTATCACGTTCTTAAAGATAATCTATTATATTTCTCCTTAAAAGTTGGGGGACCTAAATTCAAGTGCCTAAAAAGTTCAATGACCATTTATATGATTTACCCTAATTTTCATAGGTGCGGGGACCATATTGCAAACGGATTAAATGTTTGGGGACTGTATTGCAAGTTTTAAAAGTTGGGGGACCTAAATGCAAGCTTCAGAAATGTTCAGTGACCATTACTATACTTTACCCTAATAAATATGTAATATCTATGTTTATTATTTTTAATTTAATAATAATATATACCGTAACATAAAAAATAAACCATTAGAAGCGTATAATTACTAAATTAATATCTTAAAACTCACATAACCTTAAATTAATGTTTTCCACATTGAAATAGGTATGAGTACTTATATATATGTATCGATACTTACCGATAACCAAAGTTTACCCGTTACCAAATTTTTTAATAATTTTTTATGTTTTCTACCTAAAACATTATTAGTCTGTTAACATAATAGATAACGTTAAATCGAATTTATTAAATATATTTTAATATTTTTTAATATATCCGATAATATCATATATTAACCGTATGTTAATCGCCTTTCATGAGACAATCCCATCAGATTAGGTTAGTGTTGGAGACCTTTGATAGTGTTAGTACGGTCTAAATAAGGGTAGACTAGTCTAGAATGCTTCAGTAGAGGCACAATAACAGTATCATCACTTCATATTAGATGGTTGATATTTAAGTAGGAACAAATTCTAACCTACACTATAACAGTATCACAACCGTTGGATTAAATGCCCTTAGCCTGTAAGTAGAACATCGTCCCATATTATTAGATATAGTTGAAGGTTGTATAATATTTTCTTAAATCATTAGTAATATAGTTTATTTTTAAAACATGCATTAAAAATCATGATAAATTTAAAATGAAACACTAAAATACATCCATATTGATATAAAATTTGAATTAAAAAAATAATATATTAATTAGTTTGATATATTTTTTTCTGAAACTACCTCAAAATCGTTCCAATTTATATTATTTCATATTTTTTTATCTAACTATCAATATTTATTATATAAATATTATACAAATTTTGATAAATTCAATTAAACGATGATTTCATTTATATCGTTTGACTGTAAATTTATAAAATAGTCATTAAATTAAAAAATTTCAAGTAAGAAATCGAGTTTCACCAAACATACCAGACATTTCTTGCCCTTCGGAAGAACTTGAAACTGACTGATTTGTTTTATGGTCCTTATGCAGTAATTCAAAATTTGGGGTCAGTTGCTTCTAAACGTAAAGAGAAAATAATCTCAGTGACCAAAAATTCGGGTCAGTTGTTTCTTAAGAATTTTCTCTAAAAAGATAGTATTCGCGCGGACGTGTCATAGACACGTATTACCACGATCACGATCACGATCACGAACACGAACACGAACACGACCACGACCACGACCACGACCACGACCACGAGACGAGACGAGACGAGACGAGACGAGACGAGACGGACGGCGGCGGCGGCGCGCGAGAGTCCCCTTTATTCTCTATCACTCAACAAAAAAGTGGGAAAGCCAAGCCTTAAATACCATTCCCAATAGTATTTCCAATACTATGTGGGATTTGAGCATTACCAACACTTGTTCCCAATACTATGTGGGATTGAGCCTTAAATAGTGATATTATTTTTGAATGTTTTGCTTAAAATTGCAATAATCGTGATTGATTGTAGATTGACTTTTAATTATGACATATTTAATCGTATAATACTAATGCAATTGGTTGCTGATTCATTTGTTTTAAGGTGCATGATTGTTAATTGTTTCCTGAATAATCACATTGTATTGGAAACAAGTGTTGGTAATGCTCAATCCCACATAGTATTGGAAACACTATTGGGAATGGTATTTAAGGCTTGGCTTTCCCACTTCCTTGTTGAGTGATAGAGAACAAGGGGGACTCTCGTGCGCCGCCGCCGCCGCCGCCGCCGTCTCGTCTCGAGTCGGGTCGGGTCGGGTCGTGTCGTGTCGTGTCGTGGTCGTGGTCGTGGTCGTGGTAATACGTGTCTTCGACACGTCCACACGGATACTATATTTTTAGAGAAAATTCTTAAGAAACAAATTTTTTTTTTAACTATCACAACGAATTTTCGTAACGAATTTGGAAAATCGCAACGATAACTGTAGACTATCGCAACGCGAAATGGAAAATCGCAACGCGGTTTTCAACTATCGCAACGCGAAATGGAAAAGCGCAAGGCGATTTTCAACTATCGCAACGCGAAATGCAACGCGAATTTGCGATAGTGGAGATCGCAATGCGAATTAGAGATCGCTTTGCGATTTTGTTGGTCAACTATCGCAACGCGAAATGCAACGCGAATTTGCGATAGTTGAGATCGCAATGCGAATTAGAGATCGCATTGCGATTTTGTTGGTCATTTTCGTAAATCTAAAAAAAGTTGGTCAAAATCGTATATTATCTAGGATTTTTGGTCACTGAGGTTATTTTCTCAAACTTAAATTGTCTAATCATTCCAAGTGCAAAACCAAAGAGTTCAAATAGTGAGCATTGACACTAATGATATGATTGCGGATCCGTTGACTAAAGGACTAGCTCTCTAGACATTTATTGGCCATGTTAGCGAAATGAGAATAGTCGCGAAGTCCTTGTATAGAGGATAATTAGTCATTCATGTATGAATATATGTCGTGCACATTTATGTTTTTTGATACTCTAGATATCGATGTTTGTTTGGATTTTGTTTACCCATGAATTATATTTCAGTTATGCATATTTTGTTATGATTATAGATGTTAGATATTATTTTAAGACATTGTCGGATAAAATATTTTCGGGTGTCTATCTTATTAAATTGTGTCTGTTTGAATTGGATTGACATCTAATACATGGAAGGAACCAATACATTTGCCAGGCCCGTGACCACCATGATTCGGTCGATTTAGTTCTGAGGAAGTTGTGACTTGTATATTACATTATTTAAGTGAGCTCAAATTATGTTAATATGTTATATACTTGTCATATATGAATCAAGTGGTAGAATGTTAGAAATTTTGATTTCTAATATTAATTCATATAATTTAAGTATTTGATAATTACTATTGTTGTACATAAGGTGATGATTAGTGTAGTATCGAGGAGGCAATTAGCAGGTGTAAATCCCTCTGTCCCATACTGTGAAAATATAAGTTTGAGTGGTATTATGTGTAACTGAAAAGTAGAGGGGCTTTTTTGATAATTTTGACCTTTCGATTATTTTGTGATTTAAAAAACATAGTGGAATCAATTTTGTTTAAAACTCACGTAGCTGAGAGTTTTTTTCTCTCAAGGCTCTCTCTTTTTCTCTCTTAAAAAGAAAACTAGAACACTATCTGTTTTGGGGTTCTGATTCTTTCACCAAGAATCAAACAAGTCTTGATATCATCACAAGGAGAATTGAGGATTATATAGTATTGAGATGAAATAACATTTATTATTTCTTATTTTTGGGATATTCAACTATCATAATAGAATCATCAAGTAAGTTTTTATTTTTTTACTGTAATTCTTAATAATTATGTCATGAGCTTGATTTGATTGATTTAATTACTTTATTAATATCCTTATGTGTTAGTTGATTCTGCATGCAAGATGAATTTATTTTAAGGTGGATTTCAAGGACGTTAACAATTCTGTGAAAAGCTTGAAGATTTGCAGAGATAGATTATGGGTACTTCTACTGATGGGCCATTAATTAACCAAAATGGAACCCGAGTCATACTGATGGGCCAAAACATGCCTAACAGGCAAGTTTTCCGGACCGCTTCTTAACCTAGACTTGTTTGAATTGGGCTGTCCTTTGTGATGCAGCTTATTATACACGGAATATCAATAAGCGATGAAACTTTACCTTCTCGGGAGACGACAATTGTTCGGCAACTGAAGTGAGAAAATTAAAGCACGGTTTAGATGGGAAATTTTAAGGATTAAATTATAAAAAAAAGAAGGGTCTGTCACTGCACTTTTGTATGTTTGGAGTCATTATACTTTTCTCCTAACCCTCGAGTTGCTCATCTTTTCCTTCTAATCCTTAAACCCGACGCCCATTGCGAACGTCAACACTACATCCGCCGCCGCCTTCGGTAACTTACCGATTTCTTAATTACATCTCCATCTCACATGGGCGAGCAAACCCCGGCGCAGCCTCAACCACACCCTCCTCAATCTCAGGCCCTACACGATTCCTCCTCTACACCGACCCAAGCCCAACCTCAAACCCTAACTGAAGACCCGAATAATACCTCCGCCGCTGCTGTTCCCTCCGTCTCCACCGTTAGTACTGCCATTGTAGCCCCTGCGTCAACGGAGCTCGTCAATGTTCCTCTCCCAAGCTCGTCTCCTCCTTCGAAAATCCCTTCCCGCCCTAGAAAGATCCGGAAACTCTCCCCTGACCCGAACTTCGACCCTAATGCCTCACAACAAGGAGCGAGCTCCTCCACATCCGTGACGGAACCGCCTAAAACCGTCGGTAAAGCTTCCAAAACAAAACTCGCTCAACATCGAGCCTTAGCGGTTGTGGTTCCACGAATAATTGCGCGGTCCCTCTCTTGCGAAGGCGAGGTAGAAACTGCCATCCGCTACCTCCGCAACGCCGATCCCCTTCTCGCCTCCTTAATTGAGCTTAATCCCCCTCCGACTTTCGACACTTTCCATACCCCTTTCCTTGCTCTCACTCGAAGCATTTTATACCAGCAGCTCGCTTTCAAAGCCGGAACATCCATCTACACTCGCTTCATCGCACTCTGTGGAGGTGAAAACGGCGTTGTTCCTGAAACTGTCATTTCTTTATCCCCTCAACAACTGCGACAAATTGGTGTCTCGGGACGAAAAGCGAGTTACCTTCATGATCTCGCGAGAAAATACCAGACGGGGATATTATCAGACTCGGCGATTGTAAATATGGATGACAAATCACTTTTTACCATGCTTACAATGGTAAATGGGATCGGTTCTTGGTCGGTTCATATGTTTATGATTTTTTCGCTTCATAGACCGGATGTTTTGCCAATCAATGATCTCGGGATTCGGAAAGGGGTTCAAATGCTCTACAATTTGGAGGAGTTGCCAAGGCCTTCGCAGATGGATCAGTTGTGTGAGAAGTGGAGGCCATACAGGTCAGTTGCTTCATGGTATCTGTGGAGGTTTGTGGAGGCCAAAGGAACTCCTTCAAGTGCTGCGGCTGTTGCTGCTGGTGCTAGTCTTCCACCACTGCAGCAACAAGAGGAACAACAACAACATCATCAGCAACCCCAGCTTCTGGACCCCATTAATAGCATTTTTAACCTTGGGTATTATCACTTTCATAAAGAAAACTTAGTTTGCTTTGTTGCATGTTTTGGTGTTGTCAGTGTTAGTTGCATTTTGTGGAAAAGAAATGTCTCCTCGCCTATTAAGAGCTGGGTTGATTCTAATTTAGAGGCATTTAACATTTAAAATGACATTAGTCCTTCCTCATTTTTGCCTTGTGTGCTTGAAGATTTTATTTGAATGGTTATATTTTTGATGTAGGATTGAGAGTAACCGAGAGCTATCTTTTATATGTATTTCATGTGCTAGTTGGTAGACTTAAAATATGTTATTTTGCTGTCTTTAGCTCTTGAGGAAGTTTATTGAAGTATTAGAATGTGAAGTTCCTTTTACTGATTAAGTATTTACATGCTTGGATATTATATGTACCTTGCAATGCAATATCCTTTTCTGGAGAAAAATAAATTGAGAAAAGGGTGCTGACCTTCTAACTTAAGGCAACTGGCAGGATTTGCATGGCCATCGAAAAATGTCCTGAAATGCTATATTTATTTGTATAACACTGTGAAAAGAAAGGAAGACAACAAACAGGTGGATTTTTTCATCCAGAAGAAAAAGAATATGATTTTGATTGAAAATGACTAAATGTAAGATGTTAATGGTGTACTTCTCCTGATATTCAGTAGAATTTATGCTACTAAAGTCAATTTGATTTTTTATTTCCATTTCTATTTTCGTCCAATTTACATGCTACAGAAATCCAGTTTACCTCTTTCAATTTTTAAGGTTGGCTCTTGAGTGTTTTCATATATTATCCATTTAGAAGTACAAATCTTGATAGATAATGCAGAGATGATAATAGGGAGAGCATGGGTAGATCTTTGTTCATGTTAGCATGAAAACATCTTGATGATAATTTGTTCATGTTTTACATTTGAAAGAAGTCAATGAATTGATGTTTGGTCATGACGGCAGTTAGAATTAGACAGATGTACACGTAGATATTTGTTTTGCCCAAAAGTGTGATGTTACAAGATGCGTAACCTTTGGGGAGTCTTGTTTTCTGGGAGTTAAGTTTAGGATTGTTGTGGATACTCGTGATACCATGTTCAAACTAATCATCGTTTTATTATTATATGTCTTTGCATCCATGATCATTTCGATGGAGACGTTCATATTACGAGTATTATTGAGCATGGATCCCATATATCTAGCTGTTATAAGTGTATAAATCAAATGGAAAATAGGGCCTGTCAATCATTGTATGCTTTTCAGCCTTGTATGGTTTATGTGCCTGAACTCTTCTGCTACATTGCTTGGAATTCTAGTAGAAACTAGAACCTTCAGGTTTGGATTCCCATTCTGCTAAATGAAGTTCCTTGAAAAGTTTAGACGATCTTACTGATGGTTGATTGTTTGCAGCATTTGTCCTTTTCGTTATATTCTTAGTTTGATATGAAGTTGCATCCCTTTCACTAGTTTAAGGTAAAAAGCCTGAATAAGAATTAGTCTAAGGAAATATCCTACATTTTTATTTTGGTTTCTAGCAGCTTACCGGTTTCCAAATGCCATAAACTTTCAATAATTTTTTTTTAAAATCTTCTGTTTAAAGTTCCAGTTAAATTTCCATATGCTATCATATGTAAATAATTACTTTTCAGCATAGAATAAATTATCAAATTGATATTATGATATCAGCAGGGATAGTAATGCGCTGCGTGATTGACCCCGCGTAGAACCTCAAGGGACTAATCTAAAATTCATGATAACCTATTAACTTTTGCAACAGAATTACATGGCAAATTACAGAAATCATCATGGGGTTAAATGCTTCATGCAGCCTGGAAACTAACCTTTTCTTTCCTTATTTGTTTCTTCTTCAAGCTTTAAAACTTCTTTATAATCCTTTTATAATGATATTTCTGCCTGTTATATGTTATCAGGGCCTGTGCGTGGGGGCAATGATTGTCATTGGAGGTGGAATGTTTGGCTTTTTGCACAATCCATTGATCAACTTGTAAGGCAGGCACTTCAAAGGAAACTATTTGTGTGAAATCGTTGTTCTGAAAGCCATTGATGTTTATAAGACTTCAGTCTTTTAACTTGGTTCTGCTAAATTTGCTTTTAGATTTTGAATAAACACAATGCCTGGTTGGTCCAATTTTAGATGTCAACTGTCTAATACAAGACATTAATGGATTGCAAACCACTGCTGGTTGTGAAACTTGTCTCTTGAATTGTTTAATAACTGGCTGCATGTTAGAACAACCTTTATTAATCAATTATGGTTAAGCTACATCCTCAGATATGGTCAAGCCAACCTGTTTTAGGTTCGAGCTACTGCTGAATATGAATACAAATTATGCTAGCACTAGCACCCACGGTTTAGTTGCCTATAGGGTATGTATGGTGCTCCTTTACAAATATCAAAGCAATTATGAACATTCCGTTTTTCTCTCCTCGGCAGTCTTATTTTTTTTTCTCTTTCCCGAGAATAACTTTGTACGCTGCATAACTCCGCGGCCGACGAGCTCTGAAATCTGTTTCCCGCATATTTCGGATCATTATTATATGGTTTAATTGACAAATGTCTAAAATTTTTTTGTTTTAAACGCCTGAAGTGATTTTGGGTAAAATTATATTATTTTCTTTTTCTCTCTTTTGTTATTTTTTGTCTTCAATTAATGTTGGCACTAGAGGTGCACAAAAAATCCGAATATCCGATTTTGGGTAAAAAATATCCGAAACCGGATTTTGAAAAAACCGGTTTTTTTTAAACCGGATCGGATATTTAAAAACCGGATAGTATAACCGGTTTGAGAAAAAATTGAACGACCGGTTTTTCCGCCACGAGAGTGGGGTGATACTCGAGTCCATGAGACCCGAAATAGACTCGAACATGATGACCCAAATTTTTTATCATTCAACTATATTCTCATTCTTATTTTTAGAATTGACAACTTTGAGCTATACCCGATTACCCGAACCGAGACCCGAAATAGACTCGAACATGATGACCCAAATTTAACTCGAAACTTGAAAAAACTAAATTGAATTGAAATCGACCCAAATTTTAGTCAAACCAAAAGTAACCCGAATCGAAAATAACTTGAATCAAAAGTAACCCTAATTTAATTTATCTAAACACGATCTGAACAGAACATTAACCTGGTTTTAACCCAATAATTGGGTTAAAGTGTATACAAATGCTAAAATAACTTATTTTAACCTAGTTTTCAATTTATTTAAATCAAATTATGAATAATTATTAATGAGTTAATTGCATCATATATCCTCAATCTATGATCCTTATTTCAAATCAGTCCCTAAACTTTTAAACATTTCAATTTCATCATTAAACTATGACTATTATTCTAAATTAGTCTTCAAACTTTTGAACATTTCATTTTCATTCCCAAGCTATGATCTTCATTCTAATTGATCCCCAAACTTTTTGAATATTTCAATTTTATCCTAAATTATTGAGGATGAATTTGAGGATAAAATTGAAAGATCTAAAATTTAAGGGATCAATTTAGAATAAGATTCATAGTTTGGGGATGAAATTTGAATGTTCAAAAGTTTAAGGACTAATTTAGAATGAGAGCCATAATTTAAGAATGAAATTAGAATATTTAAAAGTATAAGTATGCAATCTGTAAATGATAATTGAATTTGAATCACATTGAACACAAATGATAAGTTTTTTTTTAAAATAGACATGTTTTTTTTACAAAAATATATCAATAATTCTATATACACTTGATTTGATTTATACCTAACTCAACCTGAATTGACATGAACATCCAAAGTTGACCCAAATCAAAAATAATTGATTGGATATTGATCTGACCCAAAAATTAATCGTTCCGATTTGATCCAACCCGAAATCAACCCATCCGATTTGATCCAACCCGAAATCAACCCATCCGATTTGATCCGACCCGATACCTGAATCGACCCGACTTACTATAAACCCGATTAAACTAAAACCCGAAATGAAACAGCCCGACCCGACTTACTGTCGACCCGAATAAATCTAAAACTCGAAATAATCCGATCTGACCCGAATTAAGTCTAAATCAAAATGACCCGAACAGAAATGACATGAACCGACCGTTTGCCACCTCTTTGGTCATTAAACTTTAAAAAGAAGAAAGAATAAATGATGGAAAATGATGTCATTTTGAGCTAAATTTGGTTTCATGTAGGGATTCAAAACGATATCGTTTTGGTTTGGGTTGCCATATTAGAACGCCGTTAATTATTTAACGATGGAGTGATCAAAACATGAGTCACTTAAAAGTTTAATGATTAAATTAAAAATATTTAAATTTTAATAACTAAAATAAATATGAAAAAATAGTTAAGTGACGAATGATATACTTTAAGCGGAATAGATTAAACCATTGAAATTAATCAGCTTATTTTAAGATGAAAACGTATCAAACCACACCTTGAGGCTTGTACTCTTTGATGCAAAGAAGTTTGTTCGCCGCATAATCCCTACAAAGATACCTATTTGCCGGGTTTTACCAGATCATTATTAGTATTATGATCTTGGAATTCCCGCTTAGTTTTACTTTTAAGATTCAACAATTAGACATTTCGTATGTTTGAAAAATTGTTATTGTCTCCATCACCTCCCCCAGCCCTCACTATTTGTCCGAATATTCTATTACTTAATCCACATGGCAAAGATCATGGGACGGCATTGGAGAAGCCATAATATTAATCTAGCAATTAGCTGGAAGGAATGTGAAGAATTTAACGGGACAAATCATGTACAAACATCAATAAGCTGACACTGCTATTACTATACCGTTTAATCATATTCCAGTATCATACTGGGATATTCTCATGAATAATTCCTTGTTCTCTCTGTTGCTATTTATCGTCTTCAATGTTGACAGCATTAGCATCTTATCCCCAAGAATGACTTGGCATTTCTCACTATAAAAGTGGTTTGAGTATGTAGAAAACCTACCAAAAAGCACAAGAACAAGAAATATGAATTACGAAAACTACGATCCTACTTTCCCTGACCAGCCGGTTGTTGACCTCTACCTCCCTATATGGGCTAGCTTACCAGCCTTTAGGTCAAAGCCAGCTTTCATTTGGTCCGAAGATGGCTCCACCAAGGCCTCAACGCTTACCTATGCTCAGCTCAATGATTCAGTGCACTCCATTTCTTTTCAGCTGCTCAAGTCATTACAAAGAGGTGACACTGTATTGGTTTTATGCTCACCTGGGCTAGAGCTCGTAGAGGTTATTTTTGGGTGTCAAAGAGGTGGCTTTTTGAGCGTTCCCATTTCCCCACCAGACCCTTCTTTCGCCAAACAAAACCATCGCCACCTAGTCAGAGCTCTATCCCAGACAAAGCCGAAAGCTGTCATTGCCCACCATGGTTATATCAAAAAAGTTCAGCAATATCTCTCTTTGCCCTCCAAGGACAAGGGCTTGCCGAGATGTTACAAAATCTGAAGTGGATTCCCATTGATGGTGTTAAACGTGAAAGTGTAGATTCAAGTGTGGATTCTATGCTTTATAATGGCTGCAAACCTGATGAAATTTACTTGATTCAATACACCTCGGGTGCAACAGGAATCCCGAAGCCAGTGCTTCTGACAGCCGGATCAGCAGCTCACAATGTTAGAGCAGCGAGGAAAGCTTATGATTTACATCCAGCTAGTGTTATTGTGTCTTGGTTACCCCAGCACCATGATTGTGGCCTGATGTTTCTGTTATTGACCATTGTATCTGGTGCAACATGCGTGCTGACATCACCCGCGGCTTTCGTTAACCGGCCTAGACTATGGCTCGAGCTCATGACAGAGTTCAAGGCAACTTGTACTCCTGTTCCATCATTCACCTTGCCACTAGTCGTGAAGCGTGGTGGAGTCAAAACCGGAAGCTCACCTATTAATCTACGTAGCTTGAGAAATTTAATTATCATAAACGAGCCTATTTACATGGACTCAATTGAAGTATTTCTTCATGTGTTCAAGCCTTTTGGATTAAATCCATCGTCCATCTCCCCTTCGTATGGCTTAGCAGAGAATTGCACTTTCGTTTCCACGGCCTGGAGAAGCAATGACAACTCTGGAAACTCCTGTTTCCCGGCTTTCCCCTCTCACGAAAAGCTCTTACCTAGTGCAAGACTTGCTAATGATGAAGGAGAAGAGGATATGGACATTATTGTTGTAAATGAGCACACATATGAGCCTGTTAATGATGGAATTGAAGGGGAGATTTGGGTTTCGTCTCCGAGCAATGGCTCGGGTTACTTAGGCCATCCTTTCTTAACTCAAGACATATTTAAAGGTAGACTTCGAAACAAGGTCAGCCGATTTTACGTCCGAACAGGGGATAGAGGAATTGTGAAAGGGGAAGAAAGATTTCTCTTCGTAACAGGTCGTTGCCTGGAGGTGATTAAGCTCCCTAACGGTCAGGACATACACCCTCATTACATAGAGACCGCAGCTTACAATAGTTGCCCACAGTTCATAAGAGGTGGTTGTCTCGCTGCATTTGATGTATCAAGAATGATCGTTCTTGTCGCAGAAATGCAGAGGAGTGAAAAAGATTATAAGATTTTGAAGAATATATGTGAAAGAATCAGAGAAAATGTATTCGAGAAAGAAAAAGTTGATATAGGGAAGGTAGTTCTTGTAAAAAGTGGAAGTGTTCCGAAAACAACTTCAGGTAAAATTCAAAGGTGGTTGGCTAAGGACAACTTTCTAGGAGGTAAAACGAAAATGGAAATCAATTGTGATAACAATGGCGGATTATTGCAGTCGAGTAATGGAAGAGGACAAAGAAGAGGGAGAGACAGAGGGGAAGAAGTAAGAGGCCCGAATATAGGTGACGAGAAAGAAGAGGTCGCTAATTCACTCTCAATTGCTCCAATTGGTCGTCCATGGTTGTCTCGATTGTGAGTGCATTAAGAATCTAAGACAAGAATTTTATCAATTTGTGTGTTTTTATGTGCTGTGCCCCCAAAAAATTGTGGAAGTCTTGTTCTTAATTAGGCTCCTCTTTTTGTATCCTTTACTTTGTGGTCATCGACAAAGAGGTTTGAACTTAGAAGAACATTTCCCACTCAATTAATTTTTGGGGTAAAGTATATAAATAGTTACCAAGCTTTTAGGGCATTTGCATTTTGGTCACCAAACTTTTGAAAATTACAAAACAATCATTGAACTTTTAGTTTGTTTTCATTTTGGTTTCTACCGTT